AAAAGGGAAGACAGACATGGAGACACATACACACGGGGGGAATATAAACACCATATGATAATCAAGACAGATGCAGCTACAAGCTCAGGCCACTAAAGACTGGTGGAAGCTACCAGAAGCTGAAAGAGAAAGGAGGACCTTCCTCTAGGGTCAACAACCTGAATTTGGGCCTCTGGACCTGTACAACAATAAATTTCTGATCTGTAAAGCCACCTACTTTTTGTTTTTCATACGAAAACAGCATACATATAGAAAAATTCACATATGTTACAGATCAACAAATTATCATAAAGGGAATATATATCTATGTTACTAGCACCCAGGCAAAAAATAAAACATTACCAGTACCCTCCCTGCCCTACCCCAATCACTACTCACTCCCTCCTCCATCTCTGAACTTTATTTTGAACTTTATATAATGAAAATCCAATGGTCTCTGCCTGGTCAATTTGATTCTAAATTATGTAAGATTCACCTATCTTGTGGCATGTAGCATACTGCATATTTTCATTACTGTGCAGAATCTTCCATCACACGAATACATGACAATTCAGCCACTCTTTTTTTGGTAAACATTGAGAATGTTTATGAAAAAAACTGCTATAGACATTTCTTGCATATGCCTTTCCAAGGAATGTATGCACTTTTTTTATTTTGGATAGGTAGCTAGGAATAGGACCAATGTGTCATAGGAGATACCTACGTTCAGGATTAATAATTAACACCAGATTAAACATCATAAAAATGAAACACTTAAGAGTATATCTAATTAAAGATGGTGTAAAAACTCTAAAACACTGCTAAGGAAAACTAAGGATGAGTTAAGTTAACAAAGGAATATACTATGATCATGCATTGGAAGACTCATTATTATAAAGATGAATATTCTCCCCAAATACATTTACAGATTCAATGTAATCCCAATCAAAATCCAATGGCCAATAGATTTTTTTGGGGAAACTCACATGTGGATTCTAAAATTTATACATATGCAAAGGGCTAAAAACTGCCTCTTGAGGAAGAGCAAGGAGGAAGGATTTATTCTGTTGGATACAATGATTAAGACAACGTGGCACTGGTACAGACCAATGAAACAAAATGTAACCTGGCAATAGAAATATGATATATAAAATCTAGAAACAGACACAGGCATATACGAACACTTGATAAATGGCAAAAGTGGCATTACAGATAGTTAAGAAGAGCAGAATCCTCACTAATTTATATGGGATCAGTTGGATATCTTGCAGGGGAAAAAAACAAACTTTGCCCCTACAACTTACACTATACAAAAAATCAAATTCTGGTATACTCTAGATCTAAATGTCAAGTTTCCAATAATAATGATAATAATAATAATAATAATAATGCTGTTTGTTTCTCATGTTATACTATTTTCTAGGATCCCAAGACTCTGAGCATTTTAAGAGTAGAATCCATTTTCAACATTCTATCACTTTTACTATCGCAATGGTTAGCACATAGAAGGTGGTCAATATATCTTTGTTGAATGAATAAACACACATTGTTTTAATTTTGTGACTATAATTTCTAGTCTCTAGGGAACTCAGAAAACAAACTAGAGATAATGAAAGCTATAGACTACGATATAACAAAATATGATTAAGCACATATGTATTTAAGTTTACTACAGATTGAAATACAACACAAAAAACACGTAAATATATTTGATAATTTTGATCACCTCTTCTGTGATAGGAGCTCTGGTAGCATAGTGGCTAAAGCACTTGACTGCTAACCAGAA